TTTTTTTTTTTTTTTGGCTCTAAACTTTGCAACTGACACTTTTCATAATATACATTGTTTTATGGCATTGAACTCTGTAACCACTGCTTTGGTCCAGACAATGGTCAAAGACCCTGGAGATGAGGAGGGTAGGTGGGATGGAGAGGGAGAGATAGATATGCAGGGATGAGCAAAGTCAGAGCCTGGTTAAAGAAAGTGGTAGATATGTTCTTAGCTGGTTCGTTGTTGCCATACTTCACAAACATTTTAAGCAAGAATAGAAATGGGTCCATGATCTCAATCAGCTCTCTTAGAGATGGACATTGAGCCAGGTAAGGGTAATGGCAAGGCCTCATTACTGGAACTCTTCACCATGGTTCACCAAGCAGCTTGCAACTGACTTTTGAGTCCCCCAAAGTTTCAACAATCCTTAAGTCATGGTCTCAGAGATCCAAATTCCAATGAGAAGCTCTTTCATGTTTCACCTGGAGCTGGTAGTAAGCTCTTATGCACTAGTATGACTTAACTGATTGTTAAAATAATAAAATAATTTTATACTCATTGATAATTTGATGCAACCCTTAGTGCTGAGCTCCCCATTATCATCTGGGCTGCCCTGCTCTATTTCTCAGAACTCTGGAGACTTTGGGATAGAATCAGTTTCTTTGCTCTGTCCATCTTCAACAAAATTGTTGATGATTTGAATTGCAGGGGACCTCTATAGACTCTAGTTCTATAGTAAGCATCTGTTTTGATTTATTGGTGCTAAATAGTTTGATGACTATTACTCCTGATCTCATCCTCTGGGTGCCTATAATTGATGGACTTCTTAATACTCCTGTACTTCTCCGCTCCTGGTTGTAGAGCTTCTTGTATATCTCTAGACATAGCCCAAACCTGTTTGTTGTGCCATCTTTGCATTGCCACTTTTCGCTTGAAAGCTTTCATAACTCCATGCCTCTCCCAGGGCAACATCCAATGGGAAAAGGGAGATTAGAAGATATCTCTTGGGGAGTTGGTTTAGGGAAATGAGACAATAACCCTGGGAAGAATACATATTCTCAGATGTTGGGTCTGTGCCTTAAATCCTCTATCAAGTTTTTCACTACTTAACTCACTCCCAGCAGAAATCTTCCTTTTACATGCATCAGTTTATAGCTTGGGACTCTCAGCTCCAACCAGAGCTGTGAGGACAACAAATATCAGATTTCTAAGACAGAATATTTTGGTGTCTTGTAAAAACAAAGTCAGTTTCAGCAGCAAATTCTAAGGACACTAGGATTCCTTTACCTATTCTTCTTTATCCTTTGATCTTGCCCCCTAGATTCATAATATTGTAGCTACAGTACATTAGACATCATCCAATCTTTTCATTGAAATTATGGGGAAATTAAGGCCTAGTCAAAAATTTGACTGAAGTCACTGTATTTATTTTTCTATGACTGCTATAAAAATTACCCCAAACTTAGTACCTTAAAATAACACAAATGCATTATCTTACAATTATGGAGATCAGAAGTTTGATACAGTTGGCTAAAATCAAAGCCTCAGCAGTGCTGTGTTCTTTCTGGAGACTTAGGGGGAGAATCAGTTTCTTTTCCCCGTCCATCTTCTAAAGGTTGCTCACATTCCTTGACTCTTGGTCCCCTCACACCATTTTCAAAAACAACAATGTTGCGTACTTAAATCTCTCTGACTCTTACTTCCTCTTCTCTTTTCCTCTTTCACTTTTACAAAACCCTTGTGATTACATTGAATCCACCCAGATAATTCAAGATAATATTTTCATCTTCATGGCAGCTAATTAGCAACCTTAAGTCAATCTGCAACTTTAACCCCTCCTTACAATGTAAACTAACATGCCAGCTCTGGGGATTTGGATGTGAACATCTTTGGAGGACCAATATTCTGCCCATCACAACAATATAGCAAATAAGTAACAGATCCAGGACTGGAAACCCAATCTAGTTGTTTCCTTTAGCTTGTAAACATGATTGGAATAGGTAACCCAGGGGATTCAGTGGAAATATGTTTTGAGGGAAAAGAAACCTGAGTACTTGCCCAGAGAGTGTGAAGGAAAGAATTTTGTGGTTAGAAGTAATTAATAAGAATCTCAATAAGGTAGCATTTTTGTGAGGCTGGTAAGTAAGAGTACCACTTTATCCTCTTTAAGAGAAAGTAAAAACCTCTTGTTTTGGCCCCATGGAAAGCATAGAAAACTAGTCATATGCTCAGGCCCATCAAGCCATCAACCAGTGGGTTTGGAAGAAATTGTTTATACATGGGGTCTCTAGACTCTCTAAAGTCTTTGTTATGTGCCTGGGATTTTGTTTGTCTTCTGACTAGCTAAGAAATTTAGTAGAAGATGGAAAATGGAAAATAAAGAGGTGTGGACTAGTCTGGGCTGATCATTTGGATCTCTGTTTCTGGACAAATTTTTAACCAGATACCACTTCGTCTTATTTTGCCTTCTAGGAAAGGGCCTGCCCATCTTTACCATAACTCTCATCATCTTTCTGTGCTGTATGGTGGCCTTCATGGCTTATATCATGCTCTACCAGAAGACGTCCAAGCAAGGTGAGTGATGAGTATGACTCGGTGACTCTTGGCCATTCATTCATTTTGGTAGTATAGTTGAGCATGAACTCTGTACCTGGCACTGTGTTAGGCACCTCAAAGAGTTCCCAGCCAAGTTTAGAAGTGAGGGTAGATGTAAATAAAGTCAGATAAAAAAAAAGTCAGACATGCAAGCCAACAATAACAGCACAACTTATGAAAATTAATTTACATATCCTTGGTGCCTAGATTAGTACAGCTATCTCTGTAATAAGTTTTCTAATGAAGAAACAAAAGAAAGAGAAATTACAATTTTTGGCCTCCACTTGCTTACAATTTCTTTAGGGGATTTAGTACAGAAGCATGGAGTTTATCAATAATGATACATAACAATAAAGGCTAAAGAGTCAAAGCCTGGAGTTCAATATAATAGATACTAAAGGGGTATAGAGGGGAAGAGAGACAGGGCTAGAATAATTAGAAATGACTTTCAAAGGAAGGCGGAACTACGACCAGGCCTTGGAGAATGTAAACAACTTGGAAAGGAGTATTATTCCAGAAAGGAAGAACTATATGAGTAAAGGTGTAAAGACTTAAAATATAACTGTTAGTGGGGTTATCAATGAAGAAAATGTATGTAGCTGAGCAATGATAAAATAGAGCGAAAAAGGAAAGTTAATTCCTGATATAGAAGGCTTCAAATGATAGGTTAAGGAATTTGGACTTTCTCCTCTAGGCCTTGCAAAGGAAATAAAAGAGTACATTTTTTTAAAGCAAAGGAATGGCATGATTAAGGTACATTTGTCAGGAAAGTTTTACAACTGTGAGCCAACAAAGAAGGAAAAAGAGAATTTAGATGTTAATTTCTAAGTAAAATCTAGCTACACCTAAAACCAGCTGCACTAGCTGTTTTACCTACCATTAGTGTGTTTATTCCACTGTAGCAGCTCCAAATCCCAAATAGCCTGGTTTCCACATGGGTTTCTCCAATCAAAGAAGAGAAGGGAGCCTTGAGTATCTCCTTTTTCTCTATCTTAAGTATCAGTTTTGGTCTTTACCAGTTGACACGGCTATGACCCATGAGATTAAACTTGGAAGTGGAGATATCTCAAGTGGCCACAAATCCCAGGAGTACTAAAAGTAAAACATTCATCATAGTTTCAATGAGACTGGTTAAAAACTTTAACCATATTAGACTGTTTCTCTCCCAAAAACCTTCCAGGTCTCCTCATAGCCCAGGGAATAGAAGTAAAAATGTAGCATTTCATTAAAGGCCATCTACAATGTGCCTCTAGCTTATCTTTTCTATTCCCACCACTCCCTTACACCAAGATTCATTCCGGTCACTGAAGTCAAGTAGGCTATACAGGTAAATAGGCTGTACACTCCTATGTTTTTTCCCTTCCTGGATTGCCTTCCCAAAATTCCTGATTTTTACGTCTCCATAAGGGAGACAATCTTGGGGCATCAATTTGATTCAACATGTAGTTACTTGGTGCCTAACATGTGCCAGGTGCTGGGCATATAAAAATGTAATAGACACAACCCTTGAAGTATGGGAAGCTATCAGGCCAATGGAGGAGGTAAAACAAGGGAATACAAGGCTTTATCACAAGAGAGAAGGCCTGCTGCAGCATGCCACTTTTAATTTGTTGTAATGTAATGCATTCATTCTCAGTTGAATCCCTAAAAGATTATAAGCACCTAGAGGACTGTACCAGGAGACATTCATTTTTGTACCAGGCTATAGAGCTTTTAAACCTGCACGGAATATAGATGTTTCTCCTAGGGGGTAATGGTGACCTATTTCAGGACCTTTCCTGGGCTCAGGGTGGGGATTAGTGCATTTAGCAATGACTTAGGCCATGGTTCCTGACATCAGACTAATTCAGGCCCTTCTGTCTAGGCTCTGGCCTGACTGCCAAGTTTCCCAAAAGGCCTCCCTTTGGATCTACAGCAAGATTTCTGGGTGGGAAGTGGATTCGGTTCCAGTATCCCTCTCCCCATCACACTAAGCAACTGCTCTAGCCCAATGGCCTGAATCAGAGTATGCCAAAGAGGACAGTTACCAACTGTGTTTCCTCTTCCTTTCCCTGAGAAATCTACATTCCTGTGTTTCAACTCACCTTCCTATTACCTCCTGGTTGCTGGAAAGTTGAATTTATTGAGATCTCCCTCTATGTCTCCTCTTCCTTCACCTTTTGACTGATAATGAAGTTCTATGCTTGGCTCTTGTCCACTCCCCATGGAAACCTCTGACCTGATTTCCCTTTCTTTTCTAGAGCACATCTATGAAGTGGCCAGGTAAGATAGTCTCTCCTCTTCTATCTTCTAACTCTTTCCCTGCCCTCAATTCTGTTGATTACTGGCATGGAGGAAATAGTGTTTGGCACAGACACAATCCTAAGCCCAAAGGTCTTCAGGGTCAGATTTTTTTCCTCTTCAGAACACCTCCTGATGTTCTGTTTTAGCCCACCAAAAACACAGGATAATTCAGGTCCAGCAGCCCTCTGTTCTCAGAATCTCTGGGTTACAGCCTGAGGGTCAGTTGACAAAGATTGGGGCAGAAGGGTTAGAAACCAGGGTTCCAGCCTCAAGTCCCTTCTTATGGGTGATGGGCTTTTGGGCCACAGGGTACATGCCAGGGAGACCAGCAACTCTGGTGAAACCATGAGGGTGACCATCTTCAAAAATGGCTGTTGCAGTGAAGAGCCAGCTACCCGGACTTCAGGAAATGGCTACTCTAATGAACCCAGCCTGGACCAGGAGTACCATATCATGGCCCAGATAAATGGTGACTACCCTCCGCTGGTGCACATAGTTTCCCTGGATCATGAGCTCCTGACCATCGAGGACAAGAGTGTCTGCTAAAACTGCCCTACTAGTTTGCTGACGTAATTTCCTTTTAGCCCCTGCTTTCTGCATGGTCCCCTTCTCTTCCCGGATAGCCCAACATGTATTATCTGCCAACATTGGGATCCCTAAGTGTGATTGGCTTTGCCTAAGAAGTTGCCATGTGCACACAAGCAAGCCTGCTTCTGGGTTGAGCCCTGAACCCTCCTCATATCCTTGCCTGGGGCTTCTGCTGCTTCTCTCCAAGCACCAGGGGGAACTTCCCATAGCACTAAGACACCAATTAACTTTGGCCTCTTGTCACCATAAGACCAGAGGGAAGCTCAACTCTGCCAGCTCAGGGGACCAGTTATGTCCAGAATCACTTTTTCCAAGGCCAGATTGTTTTTGAGATTGTCATATGACGGGCTAGTGTTCATTTCTGCTCTTACACTATGAGTCTAGTGCTCTGATATTCTTTTGGTGCTCAATAAATATATAATCATAATAGCAACCTTGATTGTACTGATCTTCTATCAAGGACCTACTGAGAGTGATTAAAGTGAGATTAGTTGAGATGACTGGGTGCCGGAAGCTGTTCCATTCTTGCTGCTTGACACAGTCCTTCAAGGAGGAGACATTTGGACAGCCAATGCTCCATGGGACTTGGTGTATGGCATATCCTTCTTCCCATGCTTGTTCCCCTTTCTAAAGCTCTGTGTCCTTACCTGAGTCACTTCACCAGAAAATGGCATTGCCCTAGCTGGAAACTTTTCCCTAGCAGGGGAGTCGGATACAACTGGAAAAGACAATGATTCAGTAAAAGCCCCAAAGAGTACAGGAAAATCATGTGCCGCTTATGAGGAACTCAGACTGTCAGCAGAAAGTTTAGGACTTGTTAGGCCCACTACCACAGGTAGTTCCCCACCAGGGAAAAGGCCTGGGTCTGGGCCCTTGCTGATTCACCGGCAATCCACAGGGAGTTGACCAGTGAGTTCCCACTAGGGAATGTATTACTGGGAGATGTTTATATTAATGGAAAACTCTGGGGATCCCCACAAGGAAAGAGCAGTCTAAAAAAGAGATTATTTCAATCTATACCTGAACCCTTATCATAAACAGAATATTACAATGAGGACGGACTGCTGCAGGGAATGTAAACGGAGAGACTAAGGCTAGGTCCCAGACAGGCGGTCAATCACCATAGCTAAAAACAATCACGTGCAAGCTACATAACCCTAACTTAGGACTTGCACAACCTTTATGGAAGAAAAGCTGACTTAATTATTCTCCTTTTAGCTATGTGGTAGAGCAATAAAATAGTAACTTCAGGATATAAATAACAAACTAGATATTAACCTGTAGAATAGCCTATAGAAACAAACAATAGGTAAGACTAAAAATTAACATACCTAAACAGATGTAAATTCTTTAGCAAAGGTGAGCTAAGAAGGTATATTCATTAACTGTGAAAGGCCAAAACAGAAACCGGAACAAAGCATGTTGTCATGTTGTTTAACCAGCAATAAAATCAAATAGTATAAATACAGTTGTAACAAGGAAATAAAGAGAGAAGATGATTGTCCTGATGCTCTGAACACTGTCTCTGTATCCTTCAGTCATTCTTCTCCAACGCCATCCACACCCTTGGAGACCCCTGGACTGCTGGGGCAGGACCCCTGCAACTGGGGCCCTGGGTATATAAATAGCACCTTTGTTTTTTGTTTTTGTTTTCTTCCCACCCATGCCACCCTTATCTCACTTCAGAGGTGAGCCCAGCTAGAATACAATGATTCTTTGGTAAAATAGTATTCAACTGCCTTCCATTATTCCTTTCCCAATCATCCTGCCAGCTCCACCTGGATAACTCTTCCAAGGTCAATTAAAAAGATGAAAAAAGCCTTTATTCTCTCTCTGGAGACTGTGGATGCAGAGATAAAGGGTTGTCCTTCTTTCCAAAGCATGGATGCATCACCCTCAAAGATTTCCACCTCCTGGAATCCTAAAAATTTTGGAATGGTTGTTTTCATCATAGGTCATCTCTGGTCCCTTCTTACAATGTGGAGTGCGGTTCAGAGCAAAGAAGTATTTCTCTTCAAATAAGGATGGGGAATAAGAGAGAAAGAGAGAGAGAGAGACAGAGAGAGAGAGAGAGAGTGCTTGTGCACACATGCATATTTAAATCAGTCTCTTCTGCTCTTCTGTGAGGACTTGTTCTGGGACAGGTCAATACTACTTTCCCTCCCTCATGTAATTCATGTTAAATCAACTTCTTCAGTCTTTATAGAAGCTGACATGTTTCCACTTTTGTTTCCAATGCAACCTCAAGGTCAACTCAGGTTTCACCAGGAGCTGCTCTCCTTTAGGATGAGTATGGAAGTCAAAATAGCACACAAAAGTGAACAATGAGGAGTCCTTCACTTCGCCACCACTAACCTGCCAAGTCCATGGTAAAAACCTCAGCACTTCCCTCATCCCCAGATATCAGCTTCACACAGCTCATGAAAGGAGAATCTTTTTCTTCCCCATCATGCTTACAATCTTCTGAAACAGGGCCCCCACCCAGTGGAAACCTCAGCTTCCTTCATGAAACATCTCTGTGTCCAGATCCCACAGCCTTTGAAAACAGCCATTATTTATTCCTATTATCTTTAGTTCAGAGAAAGGAATTACTGAGGTTGAGAGGAGAATTTTAGTTGCATGTCCCTTGGTAAAGGAGCCCTAAATCCAAGGACTACATCTTCCAGAGAAGCTATGGGTCATTAGGGATATCTCAGAGTCTCTTGTCTTAGAGAATTTAGAGACTGTTGATTCTAATGTTTCCATAATACAGATGAAAAAATGAAGCCCCAAAAGAAAGAGTGACTTGTCTAAAGTCAAACACATCAAGTCGGTGGTAGAACAGAGACCAGATTCAGGCCTGTGAACTGCTAGGAGAATATATTCATTGAAGCAGAGAAACTTCTGGAGATCATCTATGTTCCCAAACTGATCTTTTTTTTTTTTTTTCATACAAGACAAGCCAGTGAAACTGTCTTAAGTATAAGGCTACCCCAAAGCTGCAGGATAAAGCTAAACAAAAATAAGATGATAACATAGGATCTGTCTTAGGTTGGTGGCTGGTCAGGGGAAAGTAAAGGCATAAAAAGAGGAGATCTCCAGAAGAGAGGGAAGGCATGAAGTTCCTCAAAGGCAGCTTCCCAAATTTTGTTCCATAGCATAGTAGACCCAGGAGATGGCCCACAGGGGGGAAAAAAATCACAATCAGATAGGTATGGGAAATGCTTCATTCTATAGCTCCCTCTTAGAACTTTCCAATGTAATATTAGAATATTAAAGGTTCTATAATATCCAGCAATAAAGCACCTGTATAACTTTGTGTTACCAAATAATTCTAAAACATATTTGTCCTCTGAACCTACTTGTTTTGACCTCCCCTTGCAACCCTTGACCTAATTTATCAGGAAGAAAAACCATTCATGTTGGCTATACCTTGCATGCCTTATAGCATTGTGGTGACCACACTTTAATTTTTTCTTTACAAAATGCCTGGTTGGCTTGTGTCCCAAAGACCAAAAGCTAATGAACTACTTGAAAGTCAATCAATCAGTAAACATTTATTGAGTATTTTCTGTAACCAGAGTTCTGTGAGGTAAGGATGGAATCGAAAGACAACAATAAAGAAAACACAGTCTTGTCCTTTAGAAGCACACAACCTAGTGTGGAATTCAAAAATATCTTAAGGAAAAGTTCATTAACAATTCAAGCAGTGTTGTTGGGCAGTAGGGGATAAAGGAGTACATACAAGGACCCAGGCAAGAAGTTATTGAGAATAAAGAAGGAAAAAGTATAGTTTGACTTTCAAAAGTCCCTGGAGAGACTGGACTTTGCCTGGGCCAAGAAATGTGGGAAAAAAATGAGTAAGCAGAAAGAAATGGAGATGATGTTCTCAGAAGGAGAAAAGACATGAAGTAAAGGAGAGAGATAGGTAAGGTCAAAATGCACTTAGAGCCAAAGCTGAGTGTCAGAAAAATGGGTTTCTAAGCACTGCCATGACAGTTGTGTGAGACTTCTGGTATCCTTACTGGGAGATTGTAGAACGGGGAAAGTGAAGGAAAAATAGTAATGACTCAAGTAGCACTTTCATTCCTGGGCTCTGGATACATTTTGAAGACTACCATGCCCCCCTCAGGCTCCCACGTTGTATGTAGACATCACCCAGGGCTATGGCTCCCAGAGCTGTCTGACTTTCCCACTGGTAACCTCAACTACAATGCTTATATTCTCTTAAAGTTACTTAAAATAACTTATGAGAGCTTAATTGGAGTTTGCCATGTGTTCTTTTATCCAGTTGATAGTCTATTTGTTGGATCCCAACTGTCCTGGCTTGGAGCTGCTAAGCATGTGCCGCACTTGGGGTATTTGACAAACTGACACTCTACTACATGGAGTGTCCAACTCAGCTTGTCAAATACACGGAGTGTGGCACTGCAGAAGGCCGGGCCAGGGACTTCAGTGGGGACATGAGATCTTCTTGGGAGATGTAGCCCTAGAGGGGAAAAAAGAAAAAAGAGTCACACCCTGAACCACAGGGAAACTGAACAAATTCTAGGGACTAGCCAAAGCACTAGAATAAAGGAAGTGAACAATATAGGCATAAGGCTACTAATCAAAAGAAGCCTGAGGGTAGGTAGGGAACTCCCAGTTGACACTGCAAGTGAGGCCCCAGTGTTCAGCTGAGGATTCCTCAGGCCTGAGTCTGATAGCTATGGCATTTTTAGGAGTCACAAGCTTTAGTGGGATCCCCTATGTAGCATAGAGAGAACAATTTGGTTACCATCCATCCTGCCTCCTTAACCTCAGAAAGGGACCAGGACCTAGAGTCAGTGCCTGTGCCCCCTTTCCCTTCCCAACTCTCCCAGACAATGTTTTACAGTGTTGTGGATATGAACTTAAACATTGAGGCTAAACATGGGCTTAAATCCTGGTTCTGCCATTAATTAGGTGGAAAATTTTGGATAAATCATTTCATCTCTTTTTGCTCCAGTTTTCAACATCCCCAAAATGGGTATAAGTATAGTACATACCTAGTAAGTTATAGTGAAAATGAAATTAGATAATGTACATAACATTCTTAGTTCATTATTTGATACACAACAAATGCTCAAAAACAATGGTGCTTGTGCTGCCAGAAGGAAAGCAAGGGCCAGTGACAACTGATTTAACAAGGTCAAGACAAATGAAACAGAAATTTCTGATAGCTTCAGCCTTACTTAACAATGTCCCCTTACTACACCAGGACTCAAGAATGGCAGCTGTAAGAGAACTAGCATCTAGTCTCACCTACTCATGTTATAAATGAGGAAATGAAGGCTCATGTTGGGGAAGAAAGTTGCTAAAGGTCATACAAATTGCTCACAGTTTGGCGATGTGCCATATATCAATCCATTGTGCCTTCTAGTTTTCCTCATCACTC